ACTTCATCTAAGGGACATATGATCATTTAGGGGCTGCTTGGCTGGATAGAAATAGAGTTGCGAGTGTAAATAGAGCAACATGATTTGTAAATACATTGTTTAATTTATAATTCTATAATTAGATTAGATAAATAGGCTTGCATTTTATAGGAAAAATTTGCAACAAATGTTATAGCCAGTTTGGTGGGAGGAAAAAACTGCAAGACTCAAAAGAGGTAACTAAAAAGTAAATATAAATTCCACCTCATAAAAAATCTTTTTAAATCCAAATAGAAAACTTCCTCCCTCGAAGTTTTCTTATATGGCAAACTTATGTAGCGTTTGTACTAATTATTTTCAACCAAATATTCAATTTGCATTGGAAGTACATTTCCTAGAATATAATTGCAAACATCCAAAAGATGAATTTAACGTTAATTTCCTACGACAAATGTTGCATGTAACATTTGTTGCTTCAACATTTGCTTCAAACATTTTTTTTTTTTTTTTTTTGTTGCAATTAACCGAACATGCCCTTACTTTTAGACACTAAATACATAGAAATAGGGATAAGAATAATCAACCATAAAAGATATAACCTCACTATCTCTTGTATCTTATCCTAAATCTCATATCAACAACAATCGTATCAAATAGTTATGACATGATGCCACTGATGACGCCAAATCTAACAATATACAAACCAAAATCTAATTATTCACCATTATAACCTCAAGGGGGTGTTTGTTTGCATGCGAGTAAAAGATGAAAGTGAGAAAGTTACTTTCATTTAATAATTAAGGTGTTTGTTTTCATGTATGTGGTTGAAAGTGAGAAAGTTACTTTCATTTAATAATTAAGGTGTTTGTTTTCATGTATGTGGTTATGAAAGTAAGATGTAAGAAAGTTGTTTAATAATTAAGGTGTTTGTTTTCATGTATGTGGTTATGAAAGTAAGATGTAAGAAAGTTGCCACATAAGATTTAATACAATTTTGACTTACCCTAAAAAAGTGATGAAGTCACATGAAAGTGATAAAAATGTAACTAATTTTATTAAATAATTTTAATTATATTTTCTAATTAATCTTATTTTGCCACATCATCTTCACATTGCACTTTTGATAATAATTTAATTTTTCAAACAAACAATGTATTTCACTTGCGTGCTGACATGGATGTAAAAGTCATTTGCAAAAAAAAGTAACTTACATATTTTAAATTCACTTTTAGATTGCCAAACACCCCCCAAGTCATCTTAGCGGAGTCAACTTAATAGCCAAACTATAGATAATATGTGAATATATTAGTAAAGATTGTAACATTCTAACTTGTATTTATCAAATAGTTTGTTTTTTTTTTTCGAGATGACTTTAGAAATTTTATGGAGTAAACCCATAAAATCAGAAAAGGACTTTTTTTTTGTATATTAATTTTGATGCACTCAAATAGAATTAACATTGAAGTGAATAAAATTCACTTTCACACTTTCACAGCATCAAATCTTTTATGCCAAAGTCCAAATCTTTTAATCGATTTTACGTTTAAAATAGGTGCTATTGAGAATAAATTATATTTTGATAACTCAATGGACATATATTAATTAGCATGATAGCTTTATTAGCTAGAATCTCCCAACGATTCAACTGAAATAAACCTTATAAAGATCAACATTCCAAGTTACATTGCCCAAAAAAAGGACCCGCAACTTACCTTTTCACAATCTAAAAACATTTGAGGGGGGGGACCTTGGCGTTTGGCGACGAAGCCGAAGGAATAACGGTGAGGGATTCTTCCAACGAAATCCTCACTCGGGTTCGAAATCGTAGGCCTATCCCAGAACACAAAACACTATTCTCACCAAACCAAATTCTGCCACGTCACCCCCGATGTCCTCATCCTACTCCTATTCCGGTGGGCCCCAAGCACAAGGACGAAGCAAGGAATTGTTAGTTTTGGGTATACACCCAGTCGCCAAACCCACCCGCATAGAGATCCTCTCGTGATCCTACGTGGCCCAAATCTGTCCGTTTAAATATTCGCCATGAGATCCTCTCTTGCGCTCTCTCCCTCTCTCTCTCTCCTCTCCTCTTTTAACTTTGCTTCATGCATGGATTTCTCCTCTAGAGAGAGAAAGAGCTTCCGAATGAAACAAGAACCCGTCTGCTCTCTTTCTCTCTCTAAAACCTCTCTCTCTCTCTCTCTCTCTATAAAAAAAGATAGATTTTTTTAAAAAAAAACCTCAAGATTGATACAGAGAGCAAAGCAGAGAGTAGATATGGAAGCAGAGTGCTGAGCTGGTGATAGAGGGAGAACCAGATCTTTTCGCATTTGTTTCCAAATAAAAGCCCAATTGAAATCCCCAAATGGGCTCTCCTCAATTCCCCTCAGAACCCAATGACCACCAAGATCTGACCGATTCAAGCTCACCCATTTGAGCTCTTCTCCTCCGTATCTTGCTCTTTTCCTCCCTTCTCTTTTTCAACTCCATGGATCAAGAGAAAAAGCATAGCTGCAAGCTCTGCAACAAGAACTTCCCCTGCGGCCGCTCCCTCGGCGGTCACATGAGATGTCACGTGCCGCCTTCAAGCAGGGGGCTTCAGGGTCTCGGAGCTGATGCGTATGGGCTAAGAGAGAATCCGAAGAAATCATGGAGGGTCGAGGACCAGTCGGCAATGAGCTTCTGTGATCTCGGAGAGAAGCAGTGCCGAGAGTGCGGCAGAGAATTCCAATCTTGGAAAGCTCTGTTTGGTCACATGAGGTCTCATTCTGATAAAATTGGGAGAGCAGAGGAGGAGGAGGAGGAAGATGATGGTGAAGGATCGTGGGGTGATGGTGGGTCCCACATCGAAGGATCGGTGAAGGTCCCCAAGAAGAAGAGGAGATCGAGACCGAGGCGCCCGAGCCCGAGCTTCGAGTACTCCAAGGAGCAAAAAGATGCAGCGATTGCTCTCGTGATGTTATCCAAAGATGTTGGGCACTGGGGAAGTGGGTCAGTTGAGTTCTCTGACAAGAGTTCTGCAGTTTCTGAGGGTCATCAAGATTTGGGCTCTGATGAATTGGGTTTTTTGAGGAGCAAGAAGTTGGCTAAGTATGAGTGCACTGCTTGCAACAAGAGCTTCAACACTTACCAAGCACTCGGAGGACATCGAGCAAGCCACAAGAGGATGAGGGATTGCTTTGAGAATGGTTCAACTGATCAAGTAGTGGGAGCTCACCAATGCTTAATTTGCGGCAAAGTGTTCAGTTCTGGCCAAGCTTTGGGGGGGCATAAGAGGTCTCATTTGATCACTGCATCTCCTAGTAGGGTGATTCATCAAGAGGAGACGGCGGTGACCGATTCGGACTTGATTGATCTCAATGTTTCGTTGATGATCGATGAGGATTCGAGCAAAGGGAGTGTTTCTGTTGCTGATGCGGATTATAGACCTTGGTGGGCTGGAACCGGAAGCAATCTTCAGCATGCGGCAATGGCAGCTGTGATTGAGAATTGAAGATGTACAGATTCTTCTTCTATGATTGAATTCATTCTTTTGGGAGCTTGAAGGTGAGATGATGGTATAATATTGCTGCGTTGCTCTTAAATTTGAGTTGCAGGTGATCTTCACGAGTACTAATTCAGCCTCTTTTTTTTTTAGTACTGTTCGTTTGTTTCAGTTGGGGGTTTAGAATAAGTTCACAGTGAGACTCAAAGGACTGTTAGTAGCATGCTTGAGCTTCATTGCTCGGTAGTATATTTGAGCTTTTCTTAGTATATTAGCAGTATCACAAATCCTTCTTGATGGTTTGGGTGATGATTTTATGCAAATTGGAAAGACCAAGGCATGTGATTAAATTTGATTTTGCTATTTTTTTACCTTCAATTTTCCATCCTCTCAACAGACTAATAACTTCTGTGATAAGTTACGTGCTATAGATTTATCTCTCTAAATTTTGGTAAAATTGTTTGCATGTTGCATTATAATATGTGCACTTCTTTCTCACAAAAAATCTCTGCTCCTGATTGAATCTTACTGCCAATTTGCAGCTGGCCTGCAGTATTCTATTTCAGTCTGAGGTTCTTAATTAGTGAGCAGGTTTAAAAATACTAATTGCTGAGTGAGTATTGAGTTAGTGTAGTTGAACAAGAGAGCAAGATGTAAAGGCAAAGCCAACCAAGTGCCTTTGCAAGCAAGCCAATAGCTGAACTGACCTTGGTGGGCATTTTCTTTTTAAGTTAGGATGGAAATGATTGGGTTGTGAAATCATCATCATCATTAGAAAGCAGGCCAGTGGTTTATGGCAGTTTAATTAAAAAGGTTAGTTGCACATAGACCTCCTATAGTTTAGCCGTTTTGGATTTACTACCCTATAGTTTCATTTTTGCACATCGACACCCTGGGTCTGGTTTTATTTTTTATTTTTATTTTAAATTTTTTTTTGCAACTCACTAATTTCGTTCTGGATTGCCAAAATTTCACAAAGCATAAAAGAATCAAAAAATTAACTTGGGGTTCAATCTACAACAATGAAACTACAGCGTTAGTAACTGCAAAACAGCGATATTGCTAGGGGTCTATGTGCACTTAACCCTTAATTAAATTATCGTTTTAATGGCATGTGATCTCAATTTGGTTGTTTATTTATCCACCAGAACACATGACAACCCAACTCTATAACCTACGGTGCTGTCTTTTTCTTTCCAAATGCTTTAATTCAAGCGTAGGTGTGGTTTGTGTTGTTAGTCTTGCATCTCTTTATTGTGAAGATTAATGCTTCCCTTGTGAAGATATGCCCTTTTTGCTCCCTTACTTTTCTTGTACTTGTTGGCATTCTTTTAAGAAGAAAAAAAAAGAGAGTAAAAAAAATTTAATCAGATTTGATACATAAACATTTATCTATTAATAGTGGTAACATGGTATAAATGGTGATATGGTGAATATCAAATTTCTATATATTTGTTTTGCCGAGTACATGTAAGTATTGCTGCACATGTATCTTGCGTGAGTCACGCTTGAAGCTCCAGCTGTGACGAGGGGAGAAAAAACTATTTAGTGAATCAACTCCGCTGGACAACTAGTGAGCTAAGAGAAAAGAATTCTTAGATTTGTGCATTGATTCTCATACCTTTGCGTGGCGATTTGATGATTCATCTTCCCTGGACAACCAATTGTCAAGTGGGTTTGGTTCATTAGAGTTTGGGAGAGAGAAAATGTTAATTATGTGCAAATTTGATTGAAATTGAAATGCATTTTGCCTTGTGGATCACCTAGCAAACATCATTTCTAGCTAAATTTTCATGTAGTTGTTCATCATTTGTTGTCTTGTGTAGTGGTCCTGTGAGTGAGGAGCTGATGATCTATCAAAATCAAATAAAAAGGACCTATATAGAATTTGGTTTGATCGAGGTAATTATTTTGCTTGTTAGTTTAGGTTGATCATATCCCAGATCAATTGAGTAAAATCACCATCATCATCAAAATCAAATTGATATCATCTTTAGTTCAAATAGACTTTCTTAGTATTTTCACACTGCTCGGTGATTGATTAATCTACAAAGAAGAAGGTGATCTAATCAAGTTGTTCGGTGGCACTTCCATACGCTATTCTTCTACATAGATCTTTGATTGGTGTGCAACAATGGTGTCGAGTTGCGGGTGGCATGCTTAATAATTGATATTAGAGCGTCGGGTGATACCAATAATTAGTATAAAAGCTAAATTTTGATTAGATCAGATTTATCTTTGAAGAAAAGTTCAATCTTTATAGCATGAAATCTGAATGTTTTTTAGTGATGAAGATCAAGATTGAAAAGTTCATCGATAAGAGGGATTTTGGGCTTTGGGGGGAAAGGACGTCTTGATCCAACATGACATAGGTCAAGCTTTGCAAGGGGTACCTAAGAAGCTAAAGAATATGACAAGTGACAAGTGGAATAGGATGGATCAGAAGGCATAGAGTATGATTCTACTTGTTCTCTCTCGTATAAAGTGGGTACCACATAATCAAGGAGAAGACTACACTTAGTATATGGAAGAAACTTGAGAAGCTGTACATGACCAAATATGCATCCACCAACTTGTATTAGAAGCAACAGCTACATGGACAACTGATGAAAGAATGTACCACAATTGGAGTATCTAAGTAACTTTAACAGGATAGTGACTAAGTTAGCAGCGATGGGTCAAAGACTAAAGATGATGACAAAGCAATAATCTTGTTGACTTCTTTTCCAGCAACTTGCTAATATTTAAAGTCATCGCTAACCATAGGTAAGGGAATAGTCGCCATGGATGAGAACAAAGTAGCACTTCTCATGAATGATTTTAGTATGACAGGATATTGGTGATCAGTCGGGTTTTGTTGTTGGGTTGGTAGCAAATGTGCGAGGGAGATATTCAATCAGGACATGCTCATAGGCTAAGTGGTGCTTCTTTTGTCAAGAAAAGGATTATGTGAAGAAAGATTACTTCAAACGACTTGAGTGGTTGAAGGGGCAAAAGATGGGGGATCGGGTGGCCCAATCTTCATATGTATTAGGTATAGAGAAAAATCAACGAGTGAACGTACTTGCAGTTTTTGAGGATGAAAGTCAACAAGTCGAGGTGTTGATGATTTCTGGAGAAAACAATTCTTGTGAAGGTTGGATACTGGATTCTAGAACATCAGCTCATATATGTTCCCAAACAGGTTTGTTTAATTCCCTGGTGCAAGGAGTCAAGGAGATTGTTTATACGGTAAATGTCATGAGATGCAACATCATGGGTTTAAGAACAGTCGTGATGGTAGGAAGAAGGGGAAGCATGATGGACTTGGATAATATTCGGTTAATCCTGAAGGCAAGGGAGAATCTAATATTCTTTGGGTACTTGACTCTATAGGCTACCAAACCCAAGAGCACGGAGGAGTCATCATAATATATGACTGTAGGCAGTAAAAATTACCTATAGATTGCAAAGAAGCTCAAAACTAACAAAAACCCCTGATATCTCTCAAACCAGAGGGAACTTAGAAAAACGTACGATGGCAAACCGAACTTCGGTCGATTTGGTCAGTTCCGTCTTGATAAAATACATGATTTTTATATATACTTTATCTAATTCTGACTTACGGTTTGAAAGTTATGACCCGTTGTAGGCTGTCTACAAATCACAACAGACAGTTGACCCCTGTCAGACTTCAACCAACAGTCTTGACTAAGAAGGTTACAATCAGATAACTTTTATATCAACAAAAGAAGGCTACAATTAGAGGATTCTCCTGTAAATTTAGAAGGGATTATAAGTCAACAGTTTCTCCAAACCAATATGTAGAACTCATCCCTTCAACACAAGTGATTATATTCCAAAGTCAAAGCAACGCAATCATTACATCCTCAGCTATCAATGCAGCTTCCAAATCACTACAAACGCAGCTTCCAAATCACTGTAAACACAGCTTACAATCGTTGCAAACGATCATCCAAAGGCATACGTTTCAACGTAGGTGCATGCCCAGAACGCAAATCAAGGCTTTGACTCGTTCAAACGTGATCCAAACAGTTCCTAAAACCATTTTTTTACCCATGATTTGTGGAGTGGTTTGAGTGGGTTGTTACACCTGATTAATGGGGCGACTAAACCCCCATTTAGGAGCGGATTAGGGGGTAGTTACACCCCTAGTCTCTCTATAAATTCAAACAAACTCCACAGAGTAATGAGAGAGGATTTTCTATGATCTGATGGGGACTGGAGTATTGGGGAATCAATTTTCCAAGAATCGAGATCAAGGGCCAGACTTGGAAAGCATTCTGCAGCAACAAAGAATTCAGATACTTGGCACATTAACCGATCACTCGGTTAAAACAACCCTTTTGACAGAGTTTTGCACTCGTTCTGAGTCATAAAACTCGTGAAGAGTTCTCCAATTATTCTAATGAAATTGAGATGTACGGGTCGTCAACGAGAAGTAAACTCGACGCGACCATTCGATGGAGGTATCTCATTGCTACCGTAAAGAACCAAGAATTAAACAAAGGGGAGAATTTAGATCAATTCTACTCTCTTTTGTAATCGGAATTCAATTTGTAACTAAGATCGAGAGAATACAAATCAAAATTTTTTTATTTTTTTTACCACAAATTTTTCACCAAACAAAAGATGGCGACTCTGCTGGGGACTAGCTTATCTGACGACGAAGTGGTGGTACAATCCGACGTTTATCTCACTGGAAAAATCATCAAAACTCTCATTGTAGAGTTTAATCAAGCCAAGTACGAGGAAGCCCTCTTCTTTGGATCACTTAGCACTAAGGCTAGGCACAACACCTGCAAGATCTCCAAAGAGATCAAAACTACTGCTGAAATGCCAAAGAAAACCCTCTTCTTTGGCCAAAATTCATCAAACAGCCCCTCCTCTAAAAGAGTGGGCTTAGCCTCTGTCAAACTTGTTCGGCAAGTTGAGAATCCAACACCCGCGTCAAAACGATATGTAATAGGTCGTAAAAGGCCTACGACGGAGGTACGTTCAGTCAACACCGACGACATTGCTGCCAAGGTGTTGAAACAAGCTAAGAAGAATGCAGCTCGAAGAAGGAGAAGATCCATACGACGAGCTCATCAACGAGATAGTCAAAATCTGAACCAACATGAAGGCCGCGTTCTTGAACCTCTACCTGAACGCATACTTCGTGGTAACGAGCCCCATTATGAGCCTCACGTGACACAACTTAAACGCGAGCCTCGTCGACACATGGTTCACCTAAAACAGGACCCTCAAGGGTCTGTTCCATCAACCAAACGTAGGTTTCGGCCTAGGGTTTGTAAATCACAACGCGACTCTCGCGTTTCTTCTCCAGAACGCGATGTGGTCCGCCAAGTTCAAAGGGGTCGACAGGGGT